TGTGTGTGTCTGTATGTGCGCTGGGCCTCTGTACCGATTTTTCATCTCGAGACCTACAAAAGCTACAGAACTGAAACTTTGATAACTTAATCTACATGCACGTACAGGCCCCATCCCCAAAATGGGCGGTCTTACCCACGTGGTACTCACGCAAGAGCCCGCCAAAGTTTTTTACGGGTAAGTTCATAACTCGGGGATCCGAAATGCTAGAAAGCTGAAATCTTAAGGGAATGTCCTCCGTCCAAGTAGTTATTAATGAGCTCAAACCCAGCCTTCGGTAAGCATGGTACCCGTATACGGGACCGCCAAAATTTTCTGGTAAGTCGCTAACTCGGAAATCTGAGAAGCTAGAAGACTGGAATTTTGAAGGGATGTTTCCTGACAGTCCTGGTGGTCAGCCTGAAATTCCTTTAGCTAGAAGCATCTGCCGGAAAGACCAGTGTCGTTAGCGACAAAAATCCGCGGAGAGCTATGCGAAAAACACATCTTCGCACGGTAACCCGTGCGTTGGCCAATTATTACAAATGTTAACAAGAATTATTAATAATCGATTAACAAGATTTCTCGATGAAAAGAAGCCGAATTAGCAAGCAAGATCCCAAAGTTAACACAACACTATGGATAATAAATGATACAAAATTAGGTGGGTCGACAATAAAGTGGGAACGATGGGTAATATAAGCCTTCTTAGGACTGATTTAACTTAGCCACAGCTAGGACCGTTTTCTTGTTTCTGCATAAGAACTTTGGAGATGGATGGCCACGATCGGCGGCTCTTTGGCAGCTGATGGAACACGCTTTCTACATGCAGAAGAAACGGGGCAGCAACGAGTAGTCGTAACTTTTCGCATATTTTATATGTATTTTAAATGCACCGCTGCATCATTCATACCACAAATTATTAAACCAAGCGTAACTAACCACCGAAAGTAAGTGGTAGGATTTATCAACGAAATGAGGTGGTTGCTGACCATCACTGGCCATCTCATTCTTTTGATAAATCCCCACTGCGCCCACTTGTTCGAATAGCGCACGGGTGACGGAGGATATGCCTCTTCCCATTCCTATGGCTCTGAGTGGTATTCCCGGATGGCGAATACAATTTTGCACCTCCTCTTCTAATCGAACAGAAAGTGATCAGTGCGCAAGCGAAGCGAATGTGGCATGTGGATGAACGGTCAGAAAACGTATGGAGGTCTCCTTCTGTATTCCTGGGGCACCCGTCCGTACACCCATCCCCTTCTCCCAGCCACCCTCTAGTTTCCTGCAACTTTGCACGGTTTTGTGATACAGTTTGTTTTGTGAATCACTGATGCTGGAAGCGTTACGGATTCCTTCCCCCTCTACTCTCCATGTCCCGCACCATACATTCACTCAAAATAGCGTCATTTCAGCTACCTCTTTTCTTGTATGAATTTAATCGCAGCTCTTTCAGCACGGGCGTTTCGTTACATTTTACTCTGTCCTAGCAATAAAACTATCCGAGTATCGCTTCCACGTTTGGAATTTCACTTTAAATGCTCCTAGATACCAGGCGCAGCTATTCCAGGTCCTTTTATGGTAAACTGCACACCTCCAGTTAGTAGCTACCGCCTCTTCCATGTACGCGCGCCATCTTTCCGGACGCCTTTCGACTGGTCGTTTATTTCCGTGAGTGCACCATTCACCGAAACACGTCCTTCGCCGATTATCAAATAGACAAGCAACATGCCCAGCCCATCGGTTTTAATTTTTTTGCGCGATTGCAATACCATCCTGTAGGTTATTTGTTTGACAGAGAGTCTGATTGTTTGTATGATCATGAAGCGGCATTACAAGTATTCTTCGCTCCAGGCCATTTCCTGAAGTTACGGTGCATTGTTGCCTTTAGCTGTGTGTCAGAAGTTAACTTAAGGCTACATGCGATTGTAGTTCTAAAATATGTTGCAATGGTACTAGTCTCTGATTCAGTTCAGAGCAAATTTTGAAAATCGTAAATGTGCGGAACCCTTTGGATTTAATCCTGGGGATGATGAGTGGAAAAAATCGAATCAGATCACTGGTTATTCAGGTTTTCGTATGAAAACCAGATGAGTAAGCACCGGATGCGCTCCTGAAAAGTAGCCCCTCCTTCGCATGAGTCATCACTTTGGCATACAGTTTATTAAAGGCATCAATATCAAACGAGAAATACTTTTTGATCTTCTTTTGGCGACGCCATCACTTCCTGCGCCCAATAAATTTAATGCTGCCGTGTGTTATATGTACTGCCTAAATATAAGTCATAAGCTTAGCGAAAGCTTGAAAAATTATTTAAAACCGCAATTGCTTCTATATTCCACTGTCTGTAAAAGGTACGAGCACGAGGCACTAGTTCCGCTTATAACACACTGCCAACAACAATCATAACTGACAAGGCTTTCAGTGGTTTCTTCCAGAAACCGTTTACAAAGCAGGCTGGTGCTAGCCCCTCTGGTGTCCATTTGTTTTGGCTCACTGTCAAACTGTGGCCAATTGGAGAATCGAATTGTTGTCTTGAGCCAGGGAACAGTTTTGACAGTGTGACAAGCCCACCGGCTTCAAAAATAATCTACTGAAAATATCATTTTTTGGCTTTTTTGTAAGAATTTTAGTGCTCTTAAATTGCAAGAAAAAAAAATCCTTGAAAATATTCCAGTGGGCACAACGCTTTGATGAAAAATAGGCACAGATCTATACATGTTATCAGTGCTTGGTGAAACGTGTTTTATCAGTGTTTTATTTAGAAACACATAAAATACATTTCACCGAGGAGTTTACATTTATTTAGCTGCAGTTTGGAAAACTGAATTGAACTGGAATTTTGGAAGCACATATACATGATGTTGCATCCGTTATTAGTAAATTGTCTTCGTTCCTTATTTTCCATCGAAACAGTATTCGAGAGATATTTAACGTGTTTGTTGTTAAAGTCAAAACCCCTTCCGTATTCACGCTCTGATGGGGAACGGAAGCACCCGGGAAATAGCGAATGTCAACATCAACCATCCGCTGACAGAGCTGTTGATGATTTCCTCTTTCGAAAGTTGCTTAGAAGCAAGCTAATGACAAGTCTGACTCTTGGCATATGTCAGTATCACTTTATCATCGAAGTGAATGAACAATTCGTAGAAGGACTGGTTGTCCCACTGACGCAGTCGAATTCTCAACCTTGTTCCCGGCAGCGCTACTTCCCACTGCGCCATGTCTTTTTGAACAAATTTGATTTAGGTTTGTAATACTGAGGCTCTCAAAATAGATGGTAAATTTATTTCGACCATAGTTCTATTCAGGCGTTGTTTTTTGTGTGTCCTAGTGTCTTAAAAAATTTCAGGATTCAACACCACGAAATTTTTGATCGCAAAGAACTCGTACTTGGCATGGTTCTCTAACGTACTGTCCAGTTATTATCTCCACTGAATTAAAAGCGGTAATACTGATCCCATAGTAATAATAGTAATAGTAGTAGTAATAATAGCAATAGTGACAATAATAATAGCAATAATAATAATAACAGCAATAATAATAGTGCTTGCATGAAATACTTGGATAAGCTGTACTTTAGTCTGTTTCTTCGTCTATACAGCTGATAGGCAGATACACGGTATTGGCTTGGAAGAAGCTGACAATTACGTGTGTATAGATTTGAAATTAAATATACGAATAGTTTCTTACTAGAGACTGCACGTAGAAAAGCTGCCGGCTGGTGTTAATTTCCTAGGCTATCAGCGTTCGCAAGCTATATCGAATATAGCGTGCCTACTTTTTTAAAACTACTGCGATGGAAGTAATAATTTATCGGTGCGAAGCATTACCACAGGCGAAAGCTGAAGAACGAGTGCTTGCTGTGACGGAAAGAGCGATAGAAAAAAAAGATGCTTGGAGCGTCTTTTTGTGATCTTATAAGCAGCTAGATGAGCGAGCGCAGTAAGCGATATTATGCCTATAAGAAAGTAAACCACCACCTAAGCAACCTCCGAAGAGGCGATGCACACTGAAACAGTTGGTGTGTACTTAACTGGAGGTATGAAGCTCAGGATCGAAAGGCGAATACAACCTTGTGTTCTGGTCCTCCGATCCTGAACTTGACACCTCCAGTATATATTGACACAGAAACACGGACACACGCACGTGTATGCATGTATACGTACATATACACATAATCTGTCAGAGCGCGTTTTTTTTTTTTTTTTTTATTTACTTTCAAATAAATACACCAAAAAAAGCAGTAAACCATGGTGGATTAGAGAAGAGAAGAAGCACGTTCTGCAACTCATTCTAGCTGGAAGCTTGCAGGTTTATTTTGCGGCTGTACTTTTCTCAGTTCAACAAAATGACAGTAACAGTGGGCCTGTGCTGTTTGGGCCAGGTGGATGAGCAAACAAAACTCATCGAAAGGCAACTTCAAAAAGAAAAGAAGCAGCTTCGTCGACAGGTAACAAATGAAATTGCTTTTTGGATTTCTCTCTATCTTACATATCTGGAACTGAAAGGGTTGATTTGTTCCCTATACCCATGCAGTATTGTTTCTAACGGACTTCTCTGTCGTTCCCGCTACCTCAAATTCTTGTAACAAGAAAATATTTTGTAGTAGCAGCAACTGAAGGGACAGAATTTAAATTGGTGGATGCAGAAACTAGGCCCGTGAAGCGCAAAATTCAGTCAAAGGGACCCAAATTTTTCTTCCGGAGCAGTTTAGCAAAAAAAAACTCACAGACGGACGGAAAACGGTGAGTTACATTAGTAAACTGATAGATGAGCTTAGAAGCACTAAAGTGCGGCATTTAAATATCAAGAAGTGTTACATTATAAGTAGATGAAGCTCAAAAATAGCAGGAAACGCCAAAACCTCCTTTTTTTTCCGGAATCTGTGTGCACAGCTGTTCGAATTATTAAATTTGTAAACCAGTAGCTGCTCATGCCAAAGAAGTAGCATCGCCGAGCAACTTGTAATGAGCTTTATGCAGTGTATGAGTAGGCTTAAAATTTCAGTTTCTTAGCTGTTCTGTTCCCGGAAGATTCAAATTTTTCACAGTAAGTGGGGGATCTCAGTGGGTTAAGGAGTGAGCACGCTGAGGTAATGTGAAGTTGGAAGGCTGACATTAGACAAGGACCTGGCCTTCCATTTTAATTTTTCAGCTTCTCCAGTTACGGATTTATTGGAACATACAGATAGACGGGACCCTGCCTATAGGTACAGAAATGTTTAAAAAAATGACTTAATTTTGAAGAGAGAAAAAACAATGAGGCATATTTGCGGCATAACAACAGTTATTTTTTCGTTTACTCTTACTGAAACTACTTTGGTTTCTTTGCTGGACAGGTGAAAATTTTACTGTTGGGCTCAGGAGAATCCGGAAAGTCTACGTTCATCAAACAGATGGTTATCATACATGGTCGCGGTGAATTTACAGCTGATGAAGTGCGCGCATACAGGCAACAGATTTATCAGGTTTTTTTTCCCCAGTTTGCCACTGATATCGTTTTTGACGGAGCCCCTAATTTTGCTGAGATCTGTTTTCTTTTTTATTTTTTTATATTACCTTTTTTCTGCTGCGTATTTCTAATCCTAGCATTTCTTTGCCTACGACGAAATTAACTCTTTGCGATATTACAAAACGCCTAAAATATTTTGTTATTTTTGGATCGTGCACGAAGCGTAAGTTTCCTGAACAGCTATCGAGTAGTGTTAACTGTTTGTCCTCTAAACTCTGTTAGCTGTTGCAAGTAACCCGCGTTTGGTAAATAAATTCGGCCCTAAATGGGACAGAACTCAGCGTTGATTATGGAATTCTGTAAAAGTTCACTTTAGAAGATTGGCCTATTGTAGAACGTAATCTCGGCTATGCGAGTGCTTTTGGACGCTCGTCAGAAGTTGGGCTATGTTTGGGGGAATCCAGAAAGGCAGAAAAATGTTGATGCTGTTATGAGGTACAAACATTTCCTTCAACAGCACAAACGCAAATCTCCAATAATTCTCTTACCAGTTTTTTCCCTTATACGGCAAATCAGGAGTAATTCAAAAAAAGAAAAATTTAATCAGTTTTTAGGTTCACAGCATCTGATATGATGAAGGGCATCGACCAATCAACTTTCGCAGAAGTGGCTCCATTGATCCGTGATTTTTGGGACGATATCTCCATCAAGCAGACCTACGAGCAACGCAATCTTTTTCAAATTGTATTTATTTAGATCAAGTTTATGAAAAAGAATCGGTAGACAGTTTTATCTTCGAGGCAGAGCTCCGATTTTTGCTGCATTATTAAAAGCATGAATTGCTACTAGCATGTGCTAGTAAACAATTGTGTCCAGTCAGTAGAGCATTTTGGCTTGGAAGGCTTGGATAATAGGTAAACTGCAGTACTGTAGCCCAAACTCAAAAAAAGATCGTCAGTAATTTACATACTGATTAGATTGCAGCAACCAGTTCAGATCTGGATGCTTAATTGATAAAAGGTGGAAGATTGCAATCAATGATAAAATAGAAAGAGAGGATGAAGTAAAACGTTTCGGCCCATTAAGCCATATAATGAGCTTTTCTGAACCGCTGAAAATGTTTTTCCGCATTTAGGCTTTAAATAAAACGCACGCACACAGTACGAGTATTGATCTCTTGCCAGCACCTCCCAAAAGTTGTTTTATTAATGAATTAAACCAGTAAGTGAATGAACTAAACCAGAAATAAATTAATGAATTAAATTAGTTCTAGTCGGATTCCTGTATATACTTCTTTGATCACATCAACCGAGTTGCCATGCCGGATTACTACCCAACAAACAGGGACATTTTGTTCTGTCGAAAAGCTACGCGTGGAATCACTGAGCATGTTTTTGAAATACAGCGAATTCCTTTCAGGTATGCTGCCCTTTTCATCTGTTTAGCAGTCAGACCGGCCGTTATTGGAAAAAAAAATGCGGTAATTGCTAAAACTCGGGCTAGCCGCACAAATGTACCCATTACAGGAGGGATTATGCATTCGGCTAATGGAGAGTTTCGAAAATCATAATCGTACACAGGGATTGGATTTTTCATTTCAGTGGGATTTTGGGGTGGAGGTATGAGCTTGCCGGCTTTCAATCATATCTAATTTTCTTGCTAAGCCAATACAATCCATAATTCCCGCCTCTGTTTCCAGTTCTTATTTTCAAGCAAGATGCCAGCTCCTTTCACTTGATCTCTTAGGCCTCCTCCTTTCTACCACGACCTTTTGCAACTTAAACTGACACCCCCTATTCCTTCTCTTTCTCACTCTTATTCATTTCTGTAGTCGAATTCTGGATCCTCAGCATAAGAGTGGTATTATTTTTTCACCGTACCATGCCAGCTAGTACTATTGTTATTATACTTTTTAAAAAATGTAAGTTTTTTTTTCTTCATTCTACCCTTTACCCGTACTCTAATCTGTTTTGATGCTTAGTAAGCAGTTCTTCTTTACAGTTAACAATGTTTCAGATTTATTGATGTTGGGGGTCAGCGGTCACAACGACAGAAATGGTTCCAATGCTTCGAGGATATTACGAGCATACTGTTTATGGTCGCTTCATGTGAATATGATCAGGTTTGCTTCCTCTTATTTTAATTGCATTCGTTTCGTTTTCGCCAATGATCGTAGTTCCGGCACATATTGTCGCCTTTATCAGCTTTCGCTCCATTTTCCAGCTAATTTCTCAAACGAAACAAACATGGTAGTTAGCACCTTCTTACGTTAGCTCCTTCCAAACGAAACCGCCATAGAATTTGGTGAGATAGCCTACAGCCCCAAAAAATTAAATTCTGCTACGCTTTCTCCAAATTCGTAGTTCATTCAACAATGGCCCAGTTCTTTACAGGTAATCCTTGAAGATCGAAGGACGAATCGTGTTGTTGAGTCACGGTCAGTTTTTGAGACAATTGCAAACAATAAGTCATTTTCCAATGTCTCAATAATATTATTCATGAACAAGACAGATTTGTTGGAAGGTAAGCATCACAGTTTTTGTTTAACAAAAATCCAAATTTGATTCTGAAATATAATTAATTAACTGAACAGCCACAAAACATTTTTGAGGCGTAGAGTGAATAAATGGCAACGCGCCCCAGACTAGCCGATACGATCATGCGTTTTGTGCAATTCAGCCCATCGAACGATTGCCTGTTAATGATTTTCACTGCTTT